ACTTGGCCAACTGACTGGAAGAGATCTATATTTGTTCCCATTCCAAAGAAAGGTGACCCAACTGAGTGTGGAAACTACAGAACAGTGTCATTGATTTCACTTTTACTTTAGCATAGCTAAAATAATATAATTTTACAGAAGAAAACTCATGGGATCAAAAAATTCTAAGGGAACTTTGTGTTTATTTGGAGGCAGACTCATCAACAATCTTCATTATAAAGATGACACAACCCTGCTTGCTGAAACCAAGGAGGACCTGAAATGCTTGCTGCAAAAGGTCAAGGCCTGCAGCCTTTACTAGATTGAAGCTCAACATCAAGAAAACGAAGATTCTGGGCTGATTGGCAGCATCATGATGGATGGTGGAGATTGAGATTGTCAACAGCTTCAGTTTGCTTGGCTCCACAATCAACACTCTTGGTACCAGCAGCCAGGAAATTAAAAGACAAATTGCACTGGGAAAGTCTGTTGTCAGGGACCTCTCCAAAGTACTGAAGAGTGACGATGTCAGTCTGGAGACTAAGTGGCACCTGATCCAGGACATGGTCTTTGCAATTACTTGCTATACATAAGAGAACTGGACAATGACTAGGGATGATAGAAGAATTGATGCCTTTGAGTTGTGGTGTTGGAGAAGAGTATTGAATAGATCATGGACTGCTAGGAGAACAAACAAGTTTGTCCTGGAGAGGGTGAAGCTGGGCTGCTCCTTGGAGGCAAGGATTCTGGAGCTTCATCTGACATACTTTGAACATGTTGCAAGGCGGGATCAGTCGTTGGAGAGGGATGTCATGTTTGGGAGGGAGGAGGGACAGCACAGTAGAGGAAAACTGGGTTAATGGGGATAGGTGTGTTGGAGACAATAAGATTGGCAGGGGATAGAGCAGGGGTTAGGGCTGTTGTGCATAGGGTCGCTATGAGTCACAGATGACACGACAGCACACAACAACAGCATTTAAGATTCTAAGGGAACTTTGTATGTAAACCAGTATAAAATAAAATAAAAATATTTAAAAAATTCTTTGCACACCCATGTTTATCGTGGCTTTGTTCACAATATCAAAAGGTTAGAAACAACCTAAGTGCCCATCAACAAACAAATGGATAGAGAAGCTCTGGTATATTCACACAATGGAATACTACGCTGCATTGAAAAACAAGGAACTAATGAAATATTATACAAAATGGGTGACTCTGGAGGACCTTATCCTGAGTAAAATATCTCAGTCACAAAAGAACAAATACTGCATAGTGCCACTGTTGTACAAAATGGGACTGACATCGGGGTTGGGGGAAGACTGAGAAAGATGGGATAAATGATGTATACTGCACTGAAACAGATGAGGGAGAGAACTGTTTAAAAGGGATATATGATTAGGTATTACTGTCATGACAGGTATCCTGAATGAAGGCTGCATAGTGGAGTGGAGGGACTGTATAACAATGAAAGAGTTTTTCTTTTACTTTTTTCAAAGAGAAGAGTGAACTGTGGCGGGGAGGGTTGGGCAGGGAGAAAAGTGCAACAGTGAATGGATGGAAACTCAAAGTCTCTGTAAACTTTTATTAAAATTAATAAAAAAAAAGAATTCTAAGGGAGGCTAGACAAAATTATCTTCTCTTGGGTATCAGGATCCACTTGAATACTTTCAAAAAGCCCAAAGCCAATAGCTTCTTTTTAGGACATATTATTTTTGCCACATACTTCTGTCTGTCTTCAGGTACTTCTACTTATTGGTCACAGTTAAACATTGCCAAGCTCAGAGTGTAAATCTAATTCCTTCTGTATATGGCAACACTGCAGAATTTGAAATCAGCTTTAATATTCCTCTGCTTGCAAGTGTGAATTAATGGATCCTGCTGATATTTGGAGGCAGAGAGTGCAATGTATAGGGCATCTAAATGAAGAGTCAGCAGTTCAAATCCACTAGTAGCCCTGAAGGAGAAGGATGGGCCACCTCCACCGTAAATATTTACCGTCAGATGGAGGGTCGCTCTGAGTTAGAAATAACAGGACAGCACTGTGTAGGGGGAAATCATTCACTGTCAAGATGTGCTGTCAGCAGATGGAAAACCCAGCCTCAAAAGCCCTGCAAAGATAAGTGCTTATTTCTCACACTTACTGATTTTGGCTGTGAATGGAAAACAAATGATAGAATGTACTAAAGAAGAAAATGTACCAATTCCAGAGGTACACGGTTCAAATCCACCAGATGCTCTGCAGGAGAAGGAGGGGCAATCTCCTCCTGTACCTGTCAGACCCGATTTGACGGTACACACAAACAAAAATAATAAGATAAAATAAATTAAAAAAGAAAATGTACTCAAGCGGTAAGCTAAGATATTTTAGTTTTGTTTGCGTTCCCCCATCGTGGCTCTTTATGTAATTGGAAATGAAACAGCATTTTCATTAATTTAATACAGTTATGTACAAAACCACCTAAAGACATTCCATTGTTACTATCACTCCTCAGGTTCACACATAGTCAATGGTGGATATGAATTACTGGATTTTTAAACCAAACAGAAAACAAACCATGTGAGCTGTCTTCTTTCAACTCACCAGCATTGACTTCTGCTTTCATCTCCTTCATGTCTTCAATCATCTGCAGCTCAAGCTTGTTGATTCGTCCATGCACCCTCTCCTCTTCCAGCTTGGTTCTCGATATTTCCAGAGTCTTCTTCTGACTCTCTTCTATTCTGTCAAGTCTGGCTGACATCAAGCTGAGTTTCTTCTCCACGTCTCTCTCATTGGCTCCCTGAGACCGGAGAAGAACTGTATTTGGTTACTCCAAAAAGCTCGGAAGGTTCCTGTCTACCTAGGCTGTGTTAGCCAAAACCAAGTTACAGAGTTCTCTTTACAGAGAACACAAAGAATTAATTGGGTTTGGAGGGAGGAAACAATTGAAAAGCTTTATGTGGTGCTAAATTAATAATTAAACTGATGGAGTGGAATTAATAAGTTGTAAAACTGGCATAAGTTGCCTCCAGCTGGAGGTTGCTTTGCCCCAGAAGCCTACTTCTCTCTTTAGTCATGTAAAGCCCTTTAAACTGCCTGTTTACCAAGAGAGGAAATGCATCTTTCCTGGATTAGCATTTACTTCTTTGGAATAGTTTTTTTTCAATCACCTGTAAATTGTACCTTAAGCGTCTGTTTATTAGGAGGTGAAATGCAACTTTCCTGGATTAGCATTCACATTTTGAAAGAGGATTTTCTTAGTCATATGGAAACTATATCACAAGTTGTCTGTTTACTAGTAACTGTATGAAAACTGTTCTTTTTTAATGTAAAAATTCTGTAACTTTGAACATAATAGATTAACACCTAACCCAAGTCTAAAAGCCAATTATCACTCTTAGAAGGGGAGAAAGTTTTTGAGGGGATTCTCCCAGCCCTCTCAGATGTGCATTCAAGTGTTTTGGATATTATAATCCATCTGTCTTATGGGCAATTCACTACAGGAAGAACCCCTGGTGTTCAGTAACAAAAGCACCACATAGATTCCATTATTTTATGGCAAAACATCGACACTTACACTGTTTTCCTTAACAACCAAGGAAAGCTGGTCAATTTTCTGTAGAAGCTCTTTCTCTATCCGTTCTTGTTCCTGTTGCAACCATTTCCGTGCAGATAGGATCTGATTACTGAGATCTTCAACTGTACCTGTAAATCTAAGAATGTGAGTAAGATGTAAGAAATAAAATTTGTAATGGCATAAAAAAAAAAGCTTCATTCTCTATCCCCTCTCTGGGACTTCTGACAGCACTGAACTCAGATCAGCAGAAAAAGGTGTTTGTTTTAGAATTGCACTTAGCACTAAGATGGGGGCTCTGGGGAGGGAGAAGGAGATTACAACCGAGAAGTGCCTGATGCTGTCCCCTACCTGTGAGGAGCTGACGCTGGACATGGAGGTGACAAACAGTGACATTAAGCCATGTCAGGGGCTAAGTGCCAGAGGGTTCACAGTACTCCCAGCTCCTCTTCAAGACTGAGCTTCTCATTCTTGGCCTTTTATCTTTCTTCCAGAACTGGAGCCAGGCTCCCTTTCTCTCTACTGTCCTCCAACCCTCTCGTGGTGTTCCATACAGACACTTACGTCTTGTGAAAATGAAACAAAATTGACAGAGGAAGTCAACCAACCAAAACCTAAAATACTGGGAGTCCTCTCCTGCATATTCCTTAAAATAGCAGTTCGTATGTGCTTACTCCTCTTAATTACTTTTTTCTCTTTCTTATTATGAAATACAAGACAAGCTTGAAAGAATTATGTGTGGTATAAATATGCCATTTAAAGAATCATAGTATAATGAGCACCACAAGAGAACCACCCAATGGTCTCCTCTTTTTTCCTATTAAGAATCCTACATAGGGAGCTCTGGCTAGTAGTAAGATACTGCACTGTAATCTCAAAGGCACATGGTTCAAATCCACCAGCACTCCACAGGAGAAGGATGGGCAATCTTTTTCCCATGCAATTTACTAAGTCAGAAAACATGCTGGGCAGTCAGCTATAAGTCGGTTCTGGCTCAGTGACACACAACAACTATAGTACAGTAGGAAACTTTGCTCTCTTTGGCAGTTTGAATCCACCAGCAGTTCCAAGGGAGAAAGATGGGTAATCTCTCACTGTGCAAATCACTGCCTCAGAAAATGTGCAGTGAGAGTCAGCTGTGGGTTGGTTCTGACTGACTTACTAGGATTGAGTTTGTTAGTCGAGTGGTACAGTTTTTCAGTTTAGTGTTAGCCTGCTAATTGACTCCATCAGCCACTCCCTGAGAGCAATATGAGACAGTCAGCAGCTGTTCAGATAGAAACCTAGCCTTGGGACTGTGGTGGAAGGATGCCTCGAGAAGTATCACAGCCTGGGCCAAGGACACTTTCAAAACATTTTCTAGATATCCTTGCTCTTTAGCACTTTATAGCGGTTACTGGCAGCAGCTTTGCCCAGTGCACTATGCCATTTCATTTCTTGACTGCTGCTTCCACTGGTGTTGATTATACAATCTGTTAGATAGAAAAAAGAGTTGAGAGACAGAGAGAGAAGAAACTGGTCCCAAGAAACTAACAGGCTTTCATTAAATGGTCTGAGAAGGACACCAAGTGATTGCACACAAAGATCAGAATGGTGTGCAGCCAGACTAGGATAGTTTCTTTTTATAGGAGCTGTTAAGAGAGATTTTGAGTTGGTGGTAGTTTATTCAGGAATTTGGGGCAGGGGTCCTGACAGGAAGAGATCAGGCCCAGGGCCTTGATAGGATGGTATTAAGAAGTTCCGAATTTTCTATATATGTATCCGTTATAAAACTATAGTTCTTCTTCTTCAGCCTGCAAAACTAGTTCCTTAGCCTCCAAATTCTATTTCCTGTCTTTAGTCATGTAAAGTCGTTTGATCTGTCTGTTTACCAGAAGAGGAAACACATCTCTCCTAAATCTCTCTGAGGCTATTTCCCAGTCATATGTAATTTGTATGTTAACCTGCCTGTTTACCAAGAAGAGAACTTTGTCCTTCCTGAATTACTGATACTTAAATGTGGACCGTTCTTTTCGGATGAAGAAATTACCTTTTTTTACTAACAAAAGTGCATTGTTAAATGAACTAGAGTTTCACCCTAATATATTAGGCCATGACCACTCCCAGACAGGAAAGCAGTCTTTGAGGCCAAAACCCACTGTCTTCCAAAGATCTGTAATAAAGTGCATTTATGGATATAGCAATCTGTTTGTCTTATTGGCAACTGACTACAGGAAGAACACCTTGCCTTCAGTAACAGTCTTACTAGGATCTGGTCAGCTAGTCATCTTATCAGGATATGGACATTATCAGGTTTCCTCAAGGAGTCGTCAGGCCAGGGGGAACTGCAGCATTCTTTCTCCACCATCAAGTAAAAGAAAATCCATGACAACTTCAATCTTTTCTCTGTCTATCATGATGTTGTCAGGATTTTTAGTTTCTTTTATGTTGAAGTATAACCCACACTAAAGGCTTTGACCTTTTCAAATAGGTACTTCAAGGCCTCCTTACTTCCAGCAAATAAGGTTGTGCCATCTGTAGATCTCAAGTGGTTGATGAGTCTTCCTCCAATTCTGATGCCACATTCTTCTTCATATACTCCAGCTTCTCAAATTATTTGCTCAGCATACAGATTGAATGAGTTTGGTGAAAGGACACAATCCTGACCCATTCTGATTTTAAACCGTGCCACATCCCCTTGCTCTTTGCAAACGAGTGCTTCTGGGTTTAAGTACAGGTTCCACATGAGCACAATTAAGTGTCCGGAATTTTCAGACCAATAGTATCATGGACTGCTAGGAAAACAAACAGATTCATACTGGAAAAGGTCAAACCAGGCTGCTTCTTGGAGGCAAGGATTCTGAGGCTCCGTCTACCATACTTTGGACATGTTGCAAGAAAGGACAGGTCCTTGGAGAGGGACATCATGCTTGGTAGGGTGGAGGGACAGCACAGAAGTAGTTGGGATGGGTGTGTCAGAGATGGTGTGATTGGCACAAGACAGAGCAGAGTTTAGGGCTGTTGTACATAGGGTCGCTATGAGTCGCAAGCGACTCGACAGCACATAACAACAACAACAATTATCCATAATTATGATCCACACAGTAGTAGGATGGCTTTGCATAATCAATAAATCACAAGTAAATATCCTTCTGATATTCTCCATTTTCATCTAAGGTCTATCATCAGTAATGATATCCCTCTTCTGAATCCAGCTTGAATTTCTGGCAACTGCCTGTCAATGTGCTGCTTCAGTCTTTTTAAATAACTCTCAGCAAGGCTTTTTGTTTTTGTATATTAATGATATTACCTGAACTTCATTTTTAATGTGTTCTTTTGGAATGTGCTAGGCTTCCTGTATTTGCGATTTACCTTTCATCAATTCTGGAAAATTCTCTATCATTATCTCTTCAAACATTTATCTTTAACTGTTTCACAAATTGCTGTCTGTCAGATACTCCTCTAAATCTGAACATTCAGATCAAGACAGACTAGGAAGAAGGACTGGCCACCCACTTCTGAAATAGCAGGCCTCTGAAAACCCTATGCACAACAGAACACAC